CCTCTTAAAAGGAATCATAAAGGGGAAATTGAGGAAGAATCATAAAAGATTAGGGTTGAAAGAGAGCTCAAGAAGTCATAGAATCATAGAATACTAGGACTGGAAGGGACCTCGAGAGGTCATCAAGTCCAGTCCCCTGCCCTCATGGCAGAACCAAATACTGTCTAGACCATCCCTGATAGACATTTATCTAACCTACTCTTAAATATCTCCAGAGATGGAGATTCCACAACCTCCCTGGACAATTTATTCTAGTGTTTGACTACCCTAAGAGTTAGGAACTTTTTCCTAATGTCCAACCTAAACCTCCCTTGCTGCAGTTTAAGCCCATTGCTTCTTGTTCTACCCTCAGAGGCCAACATGAACAAGTTTTCATCCCTGATACTACTATGAATGCTATATTTGACTGGAAAAGCACAAGTAATGTATATATTTTCTTTGAACTGTTTTTCCTACTGAAGAATAATATTTGTAACTTTAAAAACAATTGGTCCTGTAGCATGTTAGGGCACGTCTACACATCATACAGATGTTATTCTGAAATAACAAAGAGCGCGTCTGCACAGCAAGTCATTATTCTGAACTAATGCCAAGCTAGAGGACTTCTTATGCTGACTCCTGTAACCCTCATTTTATGAGTAAGGGAAGTTGAAGGAAGAGTGTTCTTCCTTCGATTTCCTGCTGTGTAGACAGTGCCAAAAGCCGAATTAAGCTAATTCGCTTTAAACTATGCAATTGACGTAGCTTAAGTTGCATAGCTTAATTCAACTTTAGCCCTGCTGTGCAGAGCCTTCGAAAATAACCAAAATATATAGATTTATGAGCTTTCATAACCAAACCCCATTTTATCAGATGAATTAGAGTGGAAATAACAACAACCAAGAGATATATTACAGCAGAAGTACCTGTCAATTGTAGGACTTATATTAATGAGGCTAATTAAGTGGACTGGATGTGTCCCATACATAAGTTTTCATGGATATAAAAGTAGCTATTTTTCTATTAAATACTTTCACTAATGGATTACATAGAGATGTTGCAGAATTGAAATTTATCTAATGATTTGACATCATTACCCTGGGCCTAACAAAGACATTAACTGGTTAGCACATTACAAAGCCAATTTTTCCTGCCAATAACATCTGCATTTCCACATCAAAAGCTATTTTTGGGACACATCCAACCCATTCAATTAGCCTCATGAACAAGGGGCCTATAATTAATAGGTACTTCTCTGCTGTTATATATGTTTATCTTGGTTTCCGATATTTCCACTCCAATTCATCTGATGCAGTGAGTTTTGCCTATGAAGCTCATGATTCTCTATATTTTGGTTAGTTTCTAAGGTGCCACAGGACCACTTGTTGTGTCTAGAAATGGTGTTATTCTAATAAAAGGATTGATTATCTCTCCTCTCCGCTTACAGTATTTTTCTTTCTTTCAAGCACAATGTAACACTTTTGCCATAGGAGAGAAGGCTGTATGTTCATCACACCCACCACTTTTATTACCAAACATGGGAGTTTTAGAGCTTTTCAGGAAAAAAAAGCACCTCAGGGGTTCTCAATGTCTCAACTTGGTCAGCCTGCCACTGAGCAAGGTTTTTCTGATTATTTTACAGTTTATTCTGTATATGCTCAGGGTATTGAGCCAAGGTTTAAATAACTACTATCAGTGAAATATTTTAAACATTTTACACTTTTTTTTATGCAGTAAAACGTGTATAGTTTTGCATGAGAAGCAACTTAATTTAAATTTACCATAATTTCTATCTTTTTATCTAAAATTATTATTTTATCTTTTTTTCGCCATAACAGTAGTGCATTTTTGCTGTGGCGAATAACCAGTCTTAATAATGGAATTGTAGGAATTTTTTGGTCATGTGACTAGGATGTTTCTGGTAACCAGTTGAGTACAGTACTATGTGATGTAGCACTCTAGTAGCTTCATAGGCCTGAAAATTGAAGCAGGGTATTGTTAGGAAAGGCATCAAGCTTATTTTATCTCAGCATCCTTTGGGAAGTTTTTTGTTTTAATGTTGTTACACAATGTAGTTATGTGTATTCCAGGTCAATTACCATCACTAGAAGGACATTACAATTTTTTGCAAGTGTTCATGCAGTCTCTTTCGTGCTGCAGATATATTGCATGTATTTTTTACATAAGCACAGTATTCATTCAGACTTACTCAAATAAAACCAGAAGTCTCGACGACCAAAAAAGATAGGAAAATTCTATGTAGAATTTTTTGTATTTACTCTTTTCTTTATCTTTTTGTCCTTTTCAGATGTCTTTCTCCAAGGCTACGTCTACATTGCATCCCTCCTGCGCAAAAGCCTATGCAAATGAAGCGCAGATTAGCATATTGCCATGCTTCATTTGCATAATTAATTGGGGCCGTTTTTGCGCAAGAGGCTTTTGTGCAATAGCTGTTCTTCCTGAAAAAATGAGGAAGAATGGCTCTTGCGCAAGATGAGGATTTTGCGCAAAAAGGAGCTGTATAGACTGCTCCTTTTTGCGCAAAAGCCTCTTGCACAAAAATGGCCCCTAATTAATTATGTAAATGAAGTACGGCAATATGCTAATCCACGCTTCATTTGCATAGGCTTTTGTGCAAGAGGGATGGAATGTAGATGTAGCCCTAGGAAACTAAGAAGCAGGAACAATCTTGAGTGAATCCATATCCATACTCAACTCCACAGCATTTTACAATATCCTGCAAATGAATTAACAATGGCCCAGATTTTTACCGTCAGTACCCATAGATTGCTCCTTCTGAAGTTGTTCCAGAGCTGTGTGCATATCTGAAACTCAGTAGATTTGAATATACACAAATTCTTTATTTGACCATTATTTTAGATATAGTAGGTATGTCATGTGGCAGGCTCTACTGGGGCATCCTTCTGCCTCAGGCTATGGCACAACAGGAGCATCTACCTCAGTTTCCCCTCAATCCAGCTATAAAAGGAGAGTCTCTCAGACTGCCCAATTCAAAGTCCAAATCCTGGGCAAACTGACTGTGCTCTGACAGTAGCCCATAGAAGACTCAGGCTTTATCTACACTGAAGAGTTTTTGGGAAAGAAGCTTTTTGTGGAAGAGATCTTCTGCAAAAACTTCTTGTGCAAAATCACATCTACACCTCAAAAGTGCATTGCAAAAGCGATGTACTTTTGCACGAGAGTGTCCACACTGTATGGATGCTCTTGCACAAGAAAGCTCCGATTGCCATTAACAGAATGGTAATCAGAGCACTTGTGCTTTTTCAGATAGGTTCTTTTTGTGCAAGAAACCTCCGCGGACCATCCACACATGCCTTTTTGCACAAGAGCTGTAGAGCGTAAAGGAGTAATTCCTCATGGGGAGAGGAATAACTCTACTGGCAAAAGGCCTCTGTCCTGTCATTGTACTGTTTTGGGGTTTTTTTCCACAAAAACGTGCTTGAGGTGTGGAGACTACCCCAGTTTTTGCACAAAAACAGATGTTTTTACGCAAAAACCTTGTTGTGCAGACATAGCTTCATGGTAAACCCATTCTCCCAAATTCCATATTGTAACATAAAGGTACAGAGATTTTTCCATTCCCGCCCCCCTTTTCAGGGACATCATTTCCAGGTTACCCACCAGTGAATTCACCAGCACTCTGTTCTCAGTTCCCTTCTGACCTTGTTCCAGGGCCATACTCTCTCAGCCATCCACCTGAGGGGTGACCAGTTTCATGACTCTTCTATCCCAAACATAGTCCAATGACTCAGCCCTCTTCAATGTCCTGGCACTGTCTGTTTGGCTCTGGAAGGACAGCAGGCTAGTTTCTCTGCGCTCTCTTATCAAATCCTTGTCACAGCTGCAGAGCTTTCTACACTGCATGGTCCTTGTCTCTCCCAGACTGTTCTTACCTGCTATTTTCCTCACTGGCCCTCCATTGAGTTACTTCCTCCCCATTTATGTGGGCCATGTTTGTTCTCTTAAATGCAGCAAGAAGGCAACTGACAAGCAGAAGTGCCTGGGAGTTGCTCCTTCTTAAAGGGCCAGTCATTCTGTGATAGGGCCAAATCTTTCAATCTTTTTTATTGTGTACAGGAACAAAATGCTTGAAATCAATAGAAATTGCAGATGCTTAGTACCTCAGAGAATCAGTCCATGTTTACATGATTTTCAGAGGCCCTAAACACCCACAGCTGCAAAGTCACTGTCTCAAGCTGTAGGTATGACAAATAGGACAGCCAAAATGTGAGGCATGCAAAATTGCTAAATTATTTTTAAAAACATTGGGCTTGTTTAAAGTTAAAAGCTTTCTGGAAAACAAAACATTTTCTTTACAATATTAAAATTCTGACAGCTCTACTGAGGTCACACTATGAATGAGAGGCAGAGTTGAAAACAGATCTCAGAATCCTGGTTCCTCTCTTTATTGATTGGAGCATGCGGTTTTCCTAATAATCAATTGTTAGCTACCACCAATCCTTGATTCTAGAAGAAACTATAAAATCACTGCTGATAAAATATGCAGATAATAGAAACACATAGCAGGTCATGCTACTGATCAGAATGATGCCTTCTGAATGTAAAAGCTATGCATCTATAATTTCTCTCTTCCTCTGCTGTTTTATTTAACACCAATTGTCTAATTTTCCTCTGTAATGTAACATTGGATACAATTTGCATGCAAAGCATGATGGAAAATAAATCTGTATTGTCTGGGGCTCTATTCCAGCACCAACAACAGGTGCTTTTCCATACATTATCTCAAAGGAGAAGAAGAGAGTGGCATTGTAGAAAAAAGCATTGATATAGATGCAGATAACTGATCGTTATTATTACATCATTATATTTCTATTTAAAACTTCAATTATGGAAAACAACCTTGCATATAACTTGAAAGACATTAACAAGTTCTTAAGACACTGTCCCTTTAAACTACTCCCATCCAGATCTGTAACCTTGGCTCAATGCCTGGCCACTCTGGATTCAGTTTTGACAAACAAAACATGAAGAAAGGACCATTAAGGATCCAGATGCAAGATAACCCTTATTTACAACTGGACAGACAATTTACAAATTACATTATTTTCTTAAACAGATATGCATTTTTCAGTCACATTTATTTACAGATTTTTAATCCTCTACTTGCTGTTTGCATGATTTATAAGGTAAGTGATAAATAGTATAGAACACTTTTATCACACTGAAATAAAATCATTTGAGACTTGAACAGAAATTGAGTAAAACTGATTTTAAAGTTTAGTAATTATTATAATTGTAGTAATTCTATTATTATTTTATTTTGTGTGTTTTCCCTTTTATCTTATGATTTAAAAATGTAGATACTGAATGGAATTCATGAATGATATTTAACAAGGACTTTTATTGTGCAATGTGCATGCGCTAACAATCTTTAGAGTTAATTAATAAAATGAATTTCTCTAAATTGTAAACTTTTTTGTAATTCACGTTTCATACCTAGCAGTGCACTGTAGAACTTAGTTAACACACTGACTGAAGGAAATTTTTAATGACGTATTCAGTTTTCAGTTTTTCAGTTTACCATTATATAGCATAGATACAAACCCATAGTGGTTTTATTTATAAACGGCATTGCATCCATTCTTTTAGAAGGAAGTGATAAAATATTAAGTTGTAGAATTTCTCAGGTAAACTATTGCTTTGTTAAAAGAGAGAATTATATGGTTTGGACTTTTAAAATCTTTGATTTATATCTTTGTGTAAAAGTGCAATTTACAGACACGAAAATCATGTTTCTGTGTATTGTTAAGCAAGTGGACTTGTATATGTGCAGAAGCAAACAAATAGTCAATGTTCTCTGTTTTTATTGTAATTTAAATAGGATGATAATTATTTATTAATGGAGGTCTGATCATCTCAGTTGGATGTCCAAATGAAAGTTATAGATAGCACTGAATATTTTTACAAAGACTGGGAACGTTTTGTTTGTCCCATCCAACTTTTATTTTTTCTCTCAGTAAAACGGATTATAATATCCAAGAAGGGTATGTGAGGTAAAACCAATAGTGCAGAGACAAGTTTTCCTACTTGGCTACAGAACTGCCAGTTTTTTGTTTTAACTTCTTCCTCAGTAAATCTTTCTGAGATACTGTACTTAGAAGCTGAAAGGTGCTTAATAGAAATTTTTGTTCTACATATGCTGTCTGTGTCTATTAATTTTAATTTATTGCTGAAAAATTAATACATTTTTTGTTTTCTATTAATAGGAGTCCAAAGTCATTTGAGTTTGGATCACCATCACTATGTGGAAAAAACATTTTGCCTTTTGTATTTTACTTTTGGCTGTTGCAACAGATCATGTAGTCTATGGACAAAACAGAAAGAAGGGACAAAAGCCAATTCTTCTTGCAGGAAAAGATGATTTTCAGGGTAAACCTTTTTAAAAAAGAAATTTCAATAGGAAGTATAAAATGTTTCATAAAAGTTTTCAGGATAGTTTTCAAGGAAATGAAAAATTATACATGTGTAGGACTGCATTTGGTTGGTTGGTTGTTTTTTGTTTTGGTTTCTTTTGTGTTTGATAATCAGTCATGAGCTATATGGCAGCACATTTCACGTCTGTATTGTACTGTCTTTACCTCCTAAAGAAAGGATGAGGATGGTTTGAGAATGTTGCAGTGGCTTCCTTAATTTAAAATCTTGGATGCAGGGACATACCTAGAGCTCTGTGCCGATACAAAATTTTGTATCCTCATCTGTATCCACAAAAATGAACTAGAGATATGTGCATCCACATCTGCAGATGCGGAGAGCCGTGGATATAAAGCGGATAGCTGCAGATTTGCAGGGCTCTCTATGTATGTCTAGACTACATGGATCCATCGATGGAGCCATGTAGATGAGGTTTCTAGACATAGGGAAATGAAGCGGCGATTTAAATAATCGCCACTTCATTTACATCAAAATGGCTGCCGATCAGCTGTTTGGTGGCACAGTGCGGTAGTCTGGACGCGCCGCGGTCGACAAGGGAAGCCCTTGTCAACCGCCCCGGTAAAACTCATTCCACAAGGCATAATGGCGCGGTTGACAAGGGCTTCCCTTGTCGACTGTGGCGCGTCCAGACTACCGCACTTTGCCACCAAACAGCTGATCGGCACAGCGCGGCAGCCATTTTGATGTAAATGAAGCGGCGATTATTTAAATCACCTCTTCATTTCCCTATGTCTAGAAACCTCATCTACATGGCTCTGTAAACAGAGCCATGTAGTCTAGACATACCCTATATGTCCTTAAGATAGAATTATTATTGTAACGTTCTTGTTCTGTTACAGATCCTGTGTGCTTCATTGACATAGTCTTTATCTTGGACAGTTCTGAAAGTGCAAAACATGTGCTGTTCGATAAGCAGAAAGATTTTGTTGAGAATTTAAGCGACAAAGTTTTCGTAATGAAACCTGCTAAATTCCGGAAGTATGATGTCAAACTGGCAGTCATGCAGTTCAGCAGTACAGTCAAAATTGATCATCCCTTTGTAGCCTGGAAAGACCTGAATAACTTTAAGCAGGAAGTCAAGAACATGAACTATATTGGGCATGGCACTTATTCCTATTATGCAATTTCCAATGCCACTCATCTGTTTAAAACTGAAGGTCGCAAGGGAAGTGTAAAAGTGGCTTTGTTGATGACCGATGGTATTGACCATCCAAAAAGTCCTGATGTCCAGGGGATATCTACAACAGCTAGAGATTTTGGAATATCATTCATTACCATTGGGCTGTCTAGTAAAAAGGCCAGTAAATCAAATCTGCATTTGTTATCTGGAAATCCTCCCAATGAACCTGTTCTTATCCTAAATGATCCTAATCTCTCAGAGAAAATAAAAGAACAATTGGTAAGTAACTGTGAACGGTTACATTTCTCTTCCCTTTTACCAGTGGCAGAAATTGTTGTATATGATTATATATACACATATTAATTTGCTAATAAGGCAGTCTCTTTTTTCTTAAGTTGTTAGCCCTTCTGGTTTCAGAGAAAAGTTTGAAGGCATTATATGAGTGTACCTGAAAAGTTCAAAATAGCAAATAAAAAACTAATTTAAAAATATGTTTGAAAAATAATTAAGCTGATTTTTCTAGGAGCAGTCTCATGTTAATTTTTGAATATTAAGCAATGATGCAGAAATAGGTGGAATGGTTCATCTAAGGGAAAAAAATTAGAGGCAGTATGAATCCATTTCAATTCACAGGCCCAGCCTTCAGTGAAACAACATCTTAGGCAAAGCAGAATTTTGTGCCATCCCTCAATATAATATGAGGGATAGTCATTCATAATTCCAGTGTGCCTCCTAGTTTTCAGGGGATTATGTTGTGCAGGTTGGACCTCCCTTATCCAGCACTGTAGGGACCTTACCAATCCCAAAAGAGAGAATTTGCCAGACCAGGGATGGTCTCCTGCCACCAGGCAAAAGCCCCACTGCCTGCTGCTGACAGTCTGCCCCAACAAACACCCTGATTCTCCCTCTCTACCCTAGCTGAACCTGGCTGGACTGATTGCTGCAGCTGCTGCTGGGCAGCACAAGCTCCAGCTCCTGTTGCCAGGATCCAGCCCCAAGCATCCGGGAGAGGCTGCGGGGCCTCAGACTTGGGCTCCGGGGGTTTCTGTGGGGCTCCAGCCAGGCCCTGCGCTCTAGCAGGCTGTTGTGGGTCTCTGGCCCCAGGCTGCTGTGGGTCTCAACTCCACCCCTATATCCCCAGGGATTGCTGCAGTGCCCTGTCCCAGTGCTTCTGGGGATTACCAAGAAACTCTGGCCCATGCCGACATGTGATGCTGGGGAACTCCAGCGTGGCCCCAGACTGCTATGGGCTGCCTAAGGCTGCTATGGGGCTTCAGCCCCAGTCCCACGCTGACCACAGCCGGGCTGCCGACTCTGTTGCCCCAGCCTGGCTGTCACTCCTGCCCTTGGGCTACAGGGCTCTCTGGCCCAGGAGCATCTCTGGTCCTGCTGGACGAGGGATGTTGCCAGACCAGAGAGTTCCAGTTTTTGGAGGTACAACCTGTATATAGATCACAAAAATCTATTGCCACTTTCTGATTAGATGTTACATACTAGCATTAGTGGCCTATTGGTATTTTCTTCATGACTGGTGCTACATTACACACATTTTTAATTCATATTCCTAGGTACTAGTACAGTGTTTCTTAAACTATGTTCCGTGGAACACTGGTGTTCTGTGAACAACTCGCAGGTGTGCTGAGACCTCTTCTTTGTTTTTGTTACTTCTTTGTTTTTGTCTTTTTTTGTCTGACAACAATATTTTTTTGAAGAAAATTTTCAAAGGTATTCCACAGAAAAAAATATTATTGTTTGGTGTTCCGTGGTCTCAAAGAGTTTAAGAAACACTGCACTCGTATATGCAGCTGAAAGTTCCACAGCTCTTCCCCACATTCTGTTGTGAGTAACTCCCTCTAGAGGTGGATAGTATGAGCATCGTGATTTCAGGATACAGGCAGTCCCCGACTTACGCGGATCCGACTTATGTCGGATCCGCACTTACGAACGGAGCTTTCTCGCCCCGGAAGTCGGGGCGAGAAAGCCCCGTTTGTAAGCTGCTCCGGTGCCCCTGGTCTGCTGGAGACCGTCTCCAGCAGACCAGGGGCACCGGGCGGGTTCCCGCGCTTCTGAGGCTTTGCCAGAGAGGAGAGGCAGGGAGAGGACAGCGCAAGAGAGGGAAGAGTAGAGCAGAGGTGAAGAGGAATGGTCCTGACCCTTCCCTGTGTTGGGGGAGGAGTTGCATGGCTGGTGGTCCCCCAGATGGCCTCTGACCATTCCCCTGTGGTAGAACCGCATGTGAGCACATGACCAGAGCTTCTCTGAGCTGCCATTTCCCCAGCCAGAGGGAGTAGGGGATGACATCAGAATGAAGAACCACTTCCTCTCCCCTGCTAGGCAGAGCCCGTGGGCCCGATGCAGCCTGTAACTTGCATTGATCCAGCCTGTTACGCTTGGGATTCCGGACTCCATAGCAGGACAAGCCAGCTCTGGCTTGCTCTGTTGTGGGAAGAGAGAGCCCAAGCCTCGTGGGCCGGATCAAGACATGCCGCATGCTGGGCCATAGGTCCCCATCCCTTTAACTAGATACAAATTTAATCACTAGCAGAACTTAAAATTATCGATAAGGTGAACTGATTTCGAAAGAACATGGTTTTCAAAGAAGAATAAATAAATTAAAACTAAATAAATATTTAGCTACCAGATTGCAGAAAATATCTCAAAAGTAAGTGACATGTTATTGCATATACAGGCAGTCCCCGACTTACGCGGATCCGACTTACGTCGGATCCGCACTTACGAACGGGGCTTTCTCGCTGCTCCGGTGCCAGCAGAGTTGCTCTGCCCCGGGCTTCCTGGAATCAGCTGCTGATCAGTTTCAGCAGCAGCTGACTTGGGGACGCCTGGGGTTCTTAAGTTGATTCTGTATGTAAGTCAGAACTGGCGGTCAGTTTCAGCAGTGTCTGAATCTGGACGCCAGTTCCGACTTACATACAGATTCAACTTAAGAACAAACCTACAGTCCCTATCTTGTACGTAACCCGGGGACTGCCTGTATTTAAACAGAGAAATATGAGCTCTGTGATAGGCCACTAGAAAACAGAGTTTTGGGGGCCGGCATAGTGCATTAGCTTAAGCAGAGCTAGCATGTGTATGTGTATGTATATTTGCTGTGAAGCATCCTCCCAGATGCAGTATGAGATATATCCTAAAGGAAGCTAAACAGCAAAATGATGGTAATTCATCTGCTTTGGGGATTTGTGAAGGTGGCAGGTTATGTTTCTACGATGCTACATGTATCTTTCTAAGAATGTGGCATGAGTAGGCCTATTCTATAAGGCTGTGTCTACACTGGGCCACTTATTCCGGAAAATCAGCCGCTTTTCTGGAATAAGCTGCGAGCTGTCTACACTGGCCCTTGAATTTCCGGAAAAGCAACGATGCTCTACTGTAAAAAATCAGCCACTATTCCGGATAAACTATTCTGCTCCCGCTCAGACATAAGTCCTTATTCCGGAACACTGTTCCGGAAAAGGGCCAGTGTAGACAGCCCAGTAGTCTTTTCCTGAAAAAAGCCCCGATCGCGAAAATGGCGATCGGGGCTCTTTTCCGGAAAAGCGCGTCTACATTGGCCACAGATGCTTTTTCAGAAAAGGGTTTTTTCCAGAAAAGCCGCCTGCCAATGTAGATGCTCCTTTTCCGGAAAAACTGAAAACGGAATACTATTCTGTTTTAAGCAGTTCCGGAAATTCATGCCAGTGTAGACACAGCCCACGTGTTCACCAGTGCACAAATTGCATACTTAAAGGTTGAAATCATTCTCTTAATTAATCGTTCTTGGAATTATACTTGGAAACAGTATATTTTATAGGAAACAATTTGCCTAAATTAAGAAACTGCTATATTTTACAAGAGAATATCTTTTTTCTTTTCCTTTTTCCTTTCCAGGTTACCTTATTTAATAAGCGGGTAAGTTTTTACAAACTTTCGACTACTATCAGTGTAACACATTGTAATCAGCACATCGACAATCACACATTCACTAGTGATATCCTAATACAAATGTAGTAGTGCTATGTTTTTATTTCCTCATAGAACAGAAGAATTTTCTTAAAAACCAGAGTGTTAGAAATCAGATGGCTATTGACATTCATTTTTGGGTCCGTTTTTTCTGCCTTTACTTACACTGAGTAATATTCTTTGAATTGAATCATTAGGAGACTGGGAATACTTGATGAGAAAGATAATATTCAATGTAAACAAGTCTGACAAAATCTGGCTCTGTTATTTGTATAGGTTTATGGTGACTTTATTGTATTAACTCTCATCCGCTCCTTCCAGCCCTTCTCAGCATAAATTTCCAAACACTGATCCTTAGTGAGAGATGTTCAAGCTTTACAACTTCAGAAATTTTTCTTTTAAAAGAGTAGAAGATACTTGCTTTTCTCATTAAAATGTAGCAGCCTGCTTGGCTTAAAAATGAGATTCCTGCCTAGTGGGTAAGATTTTATGCTGCTGCATGCTATGTGTCCACTACCTGAAATGTTTATAATGTATAACATATTTATCTATTAAGAGAAACATTTTTCAAAATATTTATAATACAGTGTGTGCAAAACAAATACTGAGATGGAGCAGGTTTAAAGGATTATTTTAATGGAGGTTGTGTAATGTAAAAATGGTTTCTGGTTTGTTACAGAAAGGCATATTTTATAAGACCATTTCTTTTCCGATTGGTTCACTGTAGTGTTTCATCTAGCTCATTTCCTAGACAAAAATATAGATTTAAAAGTGCTTTAAAATTTGACATGCTAAATTTGACTATTTTTCAAAAATATTTCTTAATTAATATATCTATTAACTCTTCAGTGTGAGCAAAAATCCTGTAACTGTGAAAAGGGAGACCCAGGACCACCTGGCCCTCCTGTAAGTATATATATGTTTATAAGAATTAATATTTCTTAAGCTTCCTATCAAAAGCCAAGGCTAAACATTATAGATTCTTGCTAGTACTGTCTTTTAAAATAGTTATAGTGCACTTTTATAGTTATTTTGTTTCTATGGTTTCTGAAATTATGGATTTCATATATTATAATGAAACATCTAAGCAAAAAATGTTGTAGTTTTGTTCAAAAACAATATAGGACCCATACATGTCAAAACTAGAAGTAGGAAATCCTAATTCTGGTCTAATAAACTAGCTTGGCTAAACTGGTCCCTGATTTTGAAGAACAAATCAAGAAACTCTTGATGTGATGGAAGGTTGATAGGACCTCTATGTTACATACCCAGACAGCTTGTCTCCTCCAACTTCGAGGGCATTGCAAAGGTTTGACATAGAAATGGGTCCAAATCAAAAGTCTGCGTCTGAGCCTGTAGACTTTGGGGCACTTTGAATCAAAAGTCAGACCTGATTTTTGCTCCACAGGCAAAATCTGTCTTTTATTCCATCTTTCAGTGGTATTTTCTTCATGCCTAACAGATGCTGTTGGTTTTTCAGATGAAAATCTTAATGTCAAATGCTGAGTGATTGCCTGTAAAGTCACAGCCTAACATTATAATTCTTCTGGCTAATCTTAGTCAGATTCCCTGTCAGTCAGATGACAAAACATTTAGATATAGTTAGCATTTTATGTACTTTATAGAACAGAAGAAAATCTAGTAATCTAGGGCAATTCTAGATTATAAAATCAATTCTAGACCTGGAGCAATTCTAATTAATAGACTCCAATAGAAGTTGGTTTTAGTTTCTTAGCTGATCAAACATGCCTTCTAAACTAATTACTTGGATATTGGTAATGCATATGTCTAGCAATATCTGGGGTTCAGGGCTGGAACATTAGAGACTGTTTGCTTATAAGGAACAAGAGAAAAATGTTGTCTAGGACACCAGGGTTTCATCTCCAATTTATGAAAAGTGATCCCAGTTTTTACTTAGTTTTTAAACTAAACCATCCCATTAGCTACACCACACCTTGCCCCCTAGATTAGGCTGGTCCCTGGTGGAATCAGAATATGGCTGCTGGCCTACCATCCAATACTACTGCAGGTCAAGAAGTGAACCTCCATGGATTTTTTTTTTTTTTGGTCTCTAATCAGAATTTAAATTATTTTGTTCAAAACTATTAGATCACAGTACAGTATATAACAAGAATCCCAGGACCTCTACTTCCTTTTACCGCACAGCCCTTTGCCCAAGCTACACCTTTCTTCTCACACAGACCAGGAAGGTGGTGGGAAGAACTTTTGGCCTTAGGGCTGCAGAATTTGGCATTAATACGTTCTACACAACATATTATGGAAAGAGGCCTCTATATAAAACAATTCATATTCTTTGTGTGTCAATGCTAGGGAAAAAATGACTGAAATGTCTGAAAAATAACAGCAAGGAAGTTTTCTGTTTTCTGTTGCACCTTAGTTCATTAGGTTTCCTAGGATTCCGTTTTGCTAATGTTGAAGATGGAAAACATATTTAAACTAGGCAGGGTCAAAAATCTCAGCTACAGTCAGTGATGTGTCTTGTGACACCTTTAAAGACTAACAGATTTTATTTGGGCATAAGTTTTCATGGGTTGTCAGATACCGTTGCCCACCAAAGCTTACGCCCAAGTAAATCTGTTAGCCTTAAGTGCCATAGGATTCCTTGTTGGACTAACATAGCAACCCCACTGATAAAGTCATGTCTTTGGATACTGATAAGGAACTTTATCAGATTAATTAAAACAATCTTATGTCAGTCCCAGCTCCTTCTCCTCTTTCTCTCCCTGCTTCACAGTAGAACTTTTGTCTAAACCTTTCCTATTGTCATTGTTGCCTGCCTTCCTGGTACAGTGTTAAAGAAACTAATAATATCTCATTAAGATGTTCATGATATTTTCCTGATTTGTTTAAGGGAGGACATGGTGGTAGAGGGGATAAAGGTGATCAAGGACGAAAAGGAGACAAGGTAAATTGACAGTTTTCTCTTTAACATGAATGCCAATTTCTTCTTGTTTTCTTCAAACTATGCAAATGAAGAAAGCAAAAAAAAAAAAAAAAAAATAAAAAAGATACAGTACAATGTGCCATAAATCAATCCTCAATCATGGAATTCTGCCCTCCAAGGATTCTGTTGATATCTAACAAAGATGTATACAAGGTTAGTACAGGCTGAACATCTCTAGTCTGGCACCCTCAGGACATGACCGGTGCCAAATCAGAGAATTTGCTGAACCACAGGAGGTCAATGTTGTCTAGCAGCATTACCAACAGTGCCACTGTTTACTGGGCACTTAGAAGATATTTAGGGGTAAATTAGAGCTAAATACGAGCACAGAACACTGAGAGCCAGGACTGGTGGCTATAAACAAACTTTATGGGTATGTCTACACTAGGTCGTTAGTTCGAGCTAGGTGGGGTAATGAGGGCAAGCGGAGTTGCAAATGAAGCCCGGGATTTTAATATCCCGGGCTTCATTTGTATGTTCCTGGGCACCGCCATTTTTAAATCCCCCTTAGTCCAAACTCTGTGTCCGCGGCTATACGCGGCATGGAGTAGGTAGTTCGAATTAAAGATCCTAATTTGAACTACTGTTACTCCTCATTCCACGAGTATGGATCTTTAATTCGAACTACCTACTCCATGCCGCGTGTAGCCACAGGCACGGAGTTTGGACTAAGGGGGATTTAAAAATGGTGGTGCCCGGGAACATGCAAATGAAGCCAGGGATATTTAAATCCCGGGATTCATTTGCAACTCCGCTTGCCCTCATTACCCTACCTAGCTCAAACTAACGAGCTAGTGTAGACATACACTATGGGACCACTGGAAACTTGTCCATACCTATGATAAGTGGACATCAGGTTAACTAAAATCATGCCAGACCAGAGAGTGCCAGACTAGAGAGGTTTTTTTAATCCAAATCCTTATCTTGTAGAACAAATCAAGACTCCAGTTCTTCAAGCTCTTCTCTGCACTCCTGCATCTTTGTGGAACCATATTAAACTCAGTGAGATTTTGTGTAGCCACAAGTGCCTGTTTATTAGGCAGTTAACAGGGCGGAGGCCTCAGATCCCAAGCATCTAAGAAGTATGCTTTAGTGTCTGCGTTCTCAGGTTTGCACCGTCTAAGCTTCATTGTAGAAGAGAAGTTGGAGCCCTTTATGTTAAAAATGGTGTTAATTTTCATTCAGTATATCTTGGTTCTAATCAGGTAAAACAGTGATGCATATTTTGATTGGGTTCCATTGTTCTTGACAGGGTGATTCTGAAAAAGGAGAAAGTGGAGAAAAAGGTCAAGTGGTATGTAAATGACTTAGCATTTCCTTATTAAGATCTATTCTTCAGATTATTACAATTTAGAAAGCTAGGGCCAGTTCATTACCTGATGTAAACTGGCATAGTTCTATCTACTGTTTTGGGGAATGGAAGGGTGCATGTGGAAAATGCTATAACTTAAGTCTACAGAAGATGACAACTTTTTACAACCATATTTAAGCTTCGTTATACTTGATAAGATTATTGAATATAACACCTAACTACATTTTTCCTGTTAGTAATGTAATTATGTTCTATATCTTCAGATAATTTTTTAATCTATATTTTTAAATAGGGGGCTCCTGGCAACAAGGGAGAAAAGGTAAGATCTTTAAAAAAAATGAGGTGAGCCTAAGGCCAGATTATCATTCAATGAAAATCCTCATGGGAGATTCAGCAGAAAGTTCTTTGTTAAGCCCTGAACCTACAAACACATATACGTATATTAATGTTACTACCATGAGCAGTACCACTGAAATCAGTAGAAGTATTCATGGTAGTACAGTTAATCATGACTGTTTGGAGTTGGAGCCATCACTGGTTGTTGATGTGATCTTTCAGGGGGTCTCTACTACCCTTTGACTGGCTTTCTGTGGCTAGCCCATGGTCAGTGCAGTTCTTGGCTCCTGGACGCTCTCTCATTAGGCCTCGTGGGCTGCTTCAGTCACTTTGGGCTGGGGTTCTGGAGGTAGCTTGGTGCAGGGATATTAACACTTCATTGTCTCAGGCCTTTCTACCTCTCTTCCTTCTCTAAGCACTCTCCCCCTACAGCAGGCCTTGTGTTCCCTTTGGTTGCGGTTGTGAGTGCCTGCCTCTGTGATTGGCAGTTGTGACAGCTGCCTTGTGTCAGTCTGCTTCCCTATAGGCAGGAGAGACTCCCAGCCCCTTTCTGCTTTTGCTCAGTATATGGTTGAGAAACTTTATTTACAGTATTTAAAAAAAAAGTTGGGGAGGAGACAATATTTTGGCCACAGTAAATTCTGGGGAGGGGGAAGGATTAGGATTGGGTGGGATGTTAAGAAGAAAGAAAATTAAATATATTTCTATGGATACAGGAGGTAAATTGAGGTAATATATTTAGAAAATTAAATATAGACACAGGAGGTAATCTTAGTAGCTGAATAAAAACATTGACCAAATATTATGGAAGTTTGCTTCAAAATAACAATTAGGATTGTTAGTGAAAATTGTCACTAAGATTTCAATATAATGCAGATCAAAGTGACTGAAAAATATGAGAGTCCAAACTAACATGTCTATCATCACTCATCATAGACAGCCAAAAATAGAAACAGAGCTACCCTGCGTGTATGTCCCAAATTTGGCTTGCAAACTGGTCATTCCACAAGGATTATTAATGCAATAACAGTGAAAATGCTTCTCTGTGCCTTCATACTAATAAAGTATTTTCATTCATGGATATATGCTCAAGACACAAATGCTTTTCTTCACTCCCAAAGTTACTCCTAATTTTATGGAATTTGATTTCTGGGAAACATGAAAACTAGACTTATTTATTACGATCAGTTTTATGACATATTTGCTTGGAGTTATTTGTCCACCTAATTTACTTCATTGTGTGAACCCAATCTTGCAGACATTACCCAGACAAAACTCACATATACCATACTAATGAGCATGGTACAACAACTTAGATAAATAGAATCATCCAGTTAGAGGTTTGCCTGAATAAAGACTTCAAGACTGGGTAGTGTGGCATTGAATATAATATTCCCTAACCATGTAGATAACAATGTTATAGGAAATAAACTTACATATGCTAAGTAGAGCAGAACTTGATATAGTGACAATGCTTACAAATCTTCAGAAACACCAAAACTCTTGTATCACCATAACATTAATGCATTTTAATTAACCAAAAAATAATTTTTATAGGGTGGAAGAGGAGAATGTGGGACACCAGGATTAAAAGGAGACAGAGTAAGTATGACTTTTTAAATTAAAATATTGTTCATGGTGTGAACTGTGGAGCACATATATAAGTATCACCACACCATCCTGTGCACTAAATGAGACAGGTGGGGATCAGGTGATTAAAGTCTATAACTATACACATACACTTGGGAGCCTGAAGTGGGACATCCTTAAATCTAGAATTTCCTAACTTTTGACACCGTGACTTTGAAGATATAGAAATTTTATTTTAATACAGTATTATGTGTAATGTACTAGTTTTTCAAAAAGCAAACTAAAAATCCAGCAACCATAAGAGAAACTGCTTCCAGCTCTATCTGTAAGGGGCTGCTAGTAAATTCCATAAAACATTTTTTTGATAATTTTTCGAGCTTCCCCTGCCTCTTGTCACACTTTGTAACACTGAAACAAATGTGTAAATTTAAAGACCCCTGCCATATTTTACCTAATTTATATACAGTCCCTAATCATATGCATACAAATGCTATATAGATTCTGTCCCTATTTTTGAATATATCCTATAAAGTGAGTTACAAATGCATACAGGTATGAGGCAAATCCCACTGAAGACAATAGCAATCATGCTGTTAACTTTGTTGATTTTGAATCAGGCTTATGGAAAGACAATATAGTCTAGTCCTCTCTATGTAAACATTTATTATGATAAAAACATTGACATGGATTAGACATTTATGTAAGAAATTAAAAATTAATTGACACAAAAGGTATAGCAGTTACTCTTAAGAGCTATCAATTAGCGTTGTGACTACATCATATTATCAAAGTATTTATACTTTTTCTTTGATATTATACTCTGCAACAAGTATGCCTTATTAAAACCAACAATGAACAGTTTCTTAGTGTCTATAGAGCAGTCATTTGATTTAAGTTGACAAAGCAGATGTCTGTGAAACATTTCCTTTGGCAGCTAGGACATACTTTTAAGCAATAAGATTTTTCACAAAGAAAGAAAACCTACTAGATCATGTGAAACAGCAGGGATTCAGAAATCTCTTTAAGGGCAAATGAATCAGAAGAGATAATGACATTGAAGAAATAGATGAGTTGAACATCTAACATTCCAAAAAAACGTGATTTGGGGCAACATTTTAAAAGCAGTAGGAGGCAAACTGAAATGTGTATTGTATTAAGATAAAAAGAAGTTGTTCAGAAGCTGGCAAATAACATAGACAAAGCATCCAAAAAATCAGACATAAAAACTATATGCCGAGACTAGAGAAAGCTAAGCAGTAGTCTTCTGTTTAATTTCTGTTAAGAATAGTGATGAAAAACAAATTCTTGTAAAGAAATTATAATGGAGTAAGCACTTGAAGTTACTGGACAGACTAGAGATATAGTTACCCCCAGAATTATCTGCTCAAACCACATTTGCAAAAATAGATGAAGATCTGCAAAACATCCCAAGAATTTAAAAACAAATAAAAAATTGTGCTACTGGAAAATCTTCAGACCCTGAACACATGTAGGAGGAGTGTCAAGAACACAACTCTGATATTCAGAACCAAATTTAGAAGCTGCAGTGATTGGCGTGTAGTACAATAGGCCGTATTGTTGGCTGTCTTGGAGGAGGCTTTATTTTTCTTCTTTCTAATGTAATTAATTACACTGACTTTAGCACAGCATCTTTAGCTCAGCACAGATGTTTCCTACTGCCTACAAGTTGGGTTTCCCTAAGTACAGATGAGACTAGACTACAAACAATGGCTCAAAATGCAGAAAACTTGTCTTGGTTTGAAATCAGACCTCTTTCTAACCAGGTGTGCATATTCTCAGTGTAAGCTGTATTCTATACACACTTACCACCACAAAGCGTTTCATTCTAGTGGTTGCTTTGCCATTTCCATTTAATTTTACAAGTGTGCATTAAATCAATGTGGCTACTTATGGTAGCAAGCACTACTAACTCAGTAGTTAATCCCTGAAGGATCAGGCCCTCATATGTCCGGATACATACAATGACTTGGCCTTTGGAATCTATTTCAGTATGAGGAAATAGCTGATGGAATGTAATGCTTTCAATGTCATTGCTTTATTTGTCAGGAGAATTACTGGATCTAAACAAAACACATGCTGTGGAAAGAGCAGCCAGATCCATTGATTTCTATTTATGTAGAAATATAAAAAAAAGAAGAAAGAATGAAGAGGAAAAAAACCAGGGGAACATCTGGATTGGTCTAAAATTCTTTTTACTTTGTAAGCAAATTGTAATTGAGCCAGATGTAGTTAAAATGTGGAAAGTTTGCATTTTGGTCATTAGTGGAAAAAGTAGTAGAGAGAAGACTCAGTGGGGTAGCTGTGTTAGTCTTTATCAGCAAAAACAATGAGAAATCCTGTGGCACTTTAAAGACAAACAGATTTATTAGGGCCTAAGCTTTGGTGGGTAAAACACACTTTACCCGCTAAAGCTTATGCACTAATAAATCTTAGTCTCTAAGGGCATGTCTACACTACAGAAAAGATCAACCCTCTGGAGGTCAATCATCTAGCATTCAATTTAGTGGATTTAGTGTAGACCCCCAAATCGTACTCTGATGGCAATCCCTGATGGTGTTCTGTACTGCTCATTCTGTGAGGAGTAAGGGAAGCTGTAAGGAGCATAGGCTCCCATCTGCCTCCCACAGTGTAGATGAGGAGGCGGCTCGGCTTAAGGTAAGGTGAATTCAGCTATCCATTTTGCATAGTTGAACAGTGTAAATTAAGCTGACTTGACTGGTTTAGTGTAGACCAGGCCTCAGGTGCCATAGGACTCCTCATTGTTTTTGTTAGTGATTTATGATCTACACTGGAACTGGAAAGTAGCTGTAACTAGTAAATCCCTTTTTATGGAGAATAAATATGTGAGCTAAGAAGATAATAGATAAATATAATTTTTCTTTTGAAGGTAAAGGATTTTATGATTATTGCAAACTGTATGTCTGATTCTACTTCTGTGTCTATTGCTAAATTTGAAGTAACTTAAAGTCAGTTGAAGTTACTACACTATAAAACTTATACAAGTGAAATCAGACTCAATCGAAGTATCATCATCATTGTTAAAGATTTTTCCATCAGATATATCAGTAGAAATTGAGATTCAGAACATGTATCAGATGACAACCGGCTAAGCAGCCAACCACTCTTGTTTGTCAAAAAGGACTGTTTTCTGAGGGCACATCAGTACTGTAATGTAAACCTAGGATTAGTGGAACTCAAGTGAATGGTCCCTGGGCTTTTGAACCTAGGGCACGGGTGGCCAAACCGTTCCAGACAAAGAGCCAAGATCCAGCTGGATCCAGCGTGAAGAGCCAGGGCAAAAAAATGGTAGAGCAAAAATAAAACAAAAAATGATTGGCCTTTTAAGAAGGCTTTTTGGCCTCAGCAGGCACCTGTTGGCAGCCACCATTTTGGATTTGCCATTTTGGATCTGGACAGCTCCCCTGCCCCACTGAGCACAGGGGAACCAGGAGGTGGAGGCGGCTTCATGGGCAACTTCGCAAGCTGCACTGACGGGGGGAAGAGCCGCATGCAGCTTACGAGCCGCGGATTGGCCACACCTGACCTAGGGTTTGAGCATCTACATACATTTGTTGCCCCAGTTTGGGAACTATTGACCCCTGGGTCTTGAGCATCTATACTGCATTATGTGCACCTGAGTCCAACCATGCATATCTAAGACTTTCTACCATCTTCCCAAAAGTTGGCCACTGTAGTCTTTTGGTAACAGGGCAGTGTAGCAGGGCTTGATTGTCCAGAGGACAAAGAAAGTTAGCTCATGGGATTGTGGGATACTATTGTCAGACTTTGACAGTGCTTGTCCAGTGAAGCTGAATATACATTGCAAAGCAATAGAACTTGAATCCTGGTTCTTGGTCTGAACTCTGGGTTATCGAGATTTGTGTGTAAATGGAAGGAGGGTTAGGTCTGAGTCTGAGTTCAAACTTTGGATTTACATTGCAGTATAAATATACCCTAAGCTATTTTGTATATATTTTATAATAAAGGTCTCTGATCAAACATCAAGAGACAATTAAAAGGGAAAACAGAGAATTACTAAAAACACAACAAAAACAGCAGCTGGTCTACACCGAAAGCTTTTATATGCATAGTTACGACTCTCAGCGGTATGGAAAATTCATACCCTTAGGAAATATATCTACGCTGATCTAATCTGCAGTGTAGGCAGCGCAAGGTTGAGGGAAGAATTTTACCACCTCTTAGGAAGGTAGAATAATCACAGCCACAGGAGGACCTCTCTTGTCGCTGAAGTGAATGTTTACACTGACACACTCCAGCTCCAGGACTGTGGCTGTGCTGCTATAACATTTTAAGTGTAGTCATAGCCACAGTAGAGTAGAGAATGAAATTCCAAGGAAAATCAGGAATGGAGACGTGAAATAAATAGATCTCATTTGTTTTGTATACTCATTTGTATACTACATTGCTGTATACTACAAAAACAATTGGGCTATATTTTCAACACTGTACTTCAGCACAATAGGGTTCTAAATGCAGTTAGTGGATAAATTGCACATTCCTACTTTTCCCTCCACAGGGATTAGAAGGCCCTCTTGGACTAAAAGGACCCCGGGGACCACAGGTGAGTGAGCTGAAAGTTATTAAATAATAAAAAGTACTACAGGTTGAAACTCTGCAGTCTGTTACCCTCAGGACCTAACTGGTTCTGAACCAGAGAATTTTCTGGACCATAGGAGCTCAATATTGTCTAGCAGCAATACCAACACTTCCACTGCTTACTGGGCTGTGAGGGGACATGTATAGGATAAATTAGAGCTAAATAACAGCATAGATCACTAAGAGATAGGACTGTAAACAAACTTCATGGAACCACAGGAAACTTGCCCACACCCATGAAAAGTGGACATCTAGCTAATTGAAATCTTTCTGGATGATGGATGTTTCCAGACAAGAGAGTTTTGGACTAGAGAGGTTAAACCTGTTCTGGGCGTGTTCTCTGTTAACTTGTTTTGTAGTTATCACACAATCCGCTTTATTGAAAGTTGAATATTTTGACAAATAAAATAAATCATGGTAACTCTCTGTATTTCAGAAAATTCTTTATGGGCCAAATCTTGGCTCTTGCTGTGTATCTGGCACAAAGCCTAGCCACAGCTGCGTGGCTCAGTTGTAGAGCTCTCCACAAACTGTGGGAGATATTTCTCCTGTTAGGATGATCACATAGCATCTATGTTATTGCCTAATGACATAGAGTCTCAAGCGCCACCCCTCAATGACCATATATGGTGGCCTCCCCAAAGTCCTAGCAAGATGGGCAATGTACTGCCCAGATGAATAATAGCTGGAGGGATAGAACTGGTTGAGGAGCCCAAATGCCAATATCATCATCAAATGTGCATTGTCTACTGAAGACCCGTTGCATGAGCCAGAGTGACCATAGATGATGGCATCATACCAAACATTATAGAGTTAAGTTCCCAGATCTGGCTCAGTTCTGCAAATCCACAAATAACTAAGAAACAACTTAGCAGAAAAACTTTCTACTTAGGTCAAGTCATAATGAACTGAATATGCTTTTCCTTTTAATGTACAGTAGTCTTTGGAGTTTTTAGTTCTTTGATGCCCTTGTTTCAAAACTAATCCTGGATATTGTTAATATTATAGTACAATAGTGTGCATTGAGTTTATGTTTGGCAGACTTGTGATGTTATCCTAAAATAGAGGATTAATCCAAGGATGTTCAGCACTTTACTGTAACAGTGAACTATGTGATCTAAATAATTACTAATGGGAATACAGTTCCTTCACTGACCAAAAGGAACATGCCTAATAACAAATTGGATAGTGATTCATCTCATTTGCAGAAAATTACATTATTAGATTCCCTTGCATCCTGCCTGGTGCACATTTTCTATTGCACAAAGATTGCTTCATCTCACTTCTTGATAATCTATTTTTCACCATGAGAAATACATCAAAAAAGTGATGTGATTTCCAAAACTTCTATTAGGAATTATTTTCAAGTCTTTTCTTCTCGTAGGTTTAAAATTATTTTTTTTTATTTATAAGCCGCTAATGTATTAACAGAATAGCATAGAATTTATTTTTATTTAAAAACAAACATTTGATTAAAGCCAATTAACATTGTTAATAGCAAGTAATAACCAACTCTAAATAATAAATCCAAGGAAATAAAGAATAAAGGCATACATTTACATACATCACCTTCTCACACATAGTCACCATCCTTACCTGAGCAAATGAACCATTCTCAACCTCAGTCAGAAAGGCGACCACCAGACACCATTAAATATGCCTTTTGTTCCTATAGGAAGAGTCTTTGCCAGCTTGTGTGATTTGATAATTTGCCTTTTGGAATTTTTACTGTTTTGTGTGTTTTTTATTGATGGTTATGATGTTTTTCTAATTATGTGTGAACTATATTAAGTTTTGACTGTGTAGCAGCACCAGTGTGTTGTTGCATGGTTTGTACAGCAATCTGTATTGTTTATTAGGCAAGAGAGAAGTACGTACAAGACATTGTTTTTTTTTTTGCCAAGCCTGCCACAGTGGTACAAAAATATGGCTTTTTACAAGTTTTGTAAACAAATTAGTTTGGGGCAAATAAGTCTGATTTAAACTTTGATAGGACTGCCTTTACTGTTCAAGTAAAATTCTCAGTCATAATTATTAAAAGACCTACCCTTCTTTTAAAGACTGGATTTGTTTGTTCTTTGAGTGGCCCATTAATATAGATCTACAACTTCTTTGGGGCAGCTTTGGCACTGGTGTGATCTATAGCTGTGAAGCATGGCTGTACTCTGAGGGAAATTCTTGCCCGTACTTTTTGTTTTTACTGGCATATAATTGCCGAGTATTTCCCAAACATTTTACTGTAAAAAAAGCACTTTTTCATGGTTGAAACCTCTTTGTTGCTCATGAATATCTCTGCCCATCCAACAGGAAAATTCCACGATGCTTCATAGGGTATGTCTATGCAGCATAGAAAAACCCACAGCTGGTCTGCGCCAGCCCACTCAACCTTATGGGGGTTGGGCTGTGGGGCTGCTTCATTGCTGTGTCGATGTCCAGGGTTGGCCTGGATCCCAAGCTCTGGGACACTCTCATCCCTTTGGTCTTAGAACCTGGACCTCACACCAAGCCTGGAAGTCTACACAGCAATGAAACAGCCCCATGAGCCCAAGTCTGGCACAGGCCAGCCACATGTTTTCCTTGGTTGTGTAACCATACCTATACACCAGGGGTGGGGGACCTCAGGCCCGGGGGCTAGATGTGGCCCCAGAGCCTCAGGGCTCCCATAGCATTGAGGAGCCTGCACTGGTGCTCCAGCCCTCTGCTGTTCCACCGTGGATCTGAAGCACACAAAATCTACTAGGCTGCCCCCTCCTGCCAGGGTCTGGCATGGGAGGGCAATGTGGGGAGTGTCTTTCTCCTTCTCAGTCGGGGGCCACATCAGTGAGGGGTTTTTGTTTTAATTTGCTTCTCGCTGGCTGATTTTTCTGTGGGTCAGTGTCCTCTGACCCAAAAAAGTTTCCCCACTCCTGTGATACGCAGAGGCCCAAAGATGTGCCAGAACTCTGCCCAACAGTTCCTCTGGTGATCCATTCTGTTGCTGGGAGCTGCAATGAAATGCACTGCACAGCTTCATTATGGGCAGCCTGCCAAATGGTCATGGGATTTGGATCTGATTCTGTTGAGGGCTGCTTGTCTAGGATGTATAACAATTAGATCCATGAATCTGCTATTTCTCATAGTCAGTCTGCCCTCACTGGGCTGACCACCCATTTGGGATATGGATGCACTCCTACCTCCACATATTTCAGAACGGACTGCAGACTGGGCACCTTACATACCCCTCACAGATATCAGAGGCTTGTTTCCCTTGTCTCTGAGAACACAGTTGCGGCCACAGTACCAATTAGCTATACAAATATCTTGCAGAAAACAATGTATTTCAGAAAACCAAAATAAACTACAGCTCAGCAGTTGATTGCTGGCCTCACAGAAGTGGTTACTTTTCAGACTTGAATGGAAAGAGAAGGGTGGTGGCTTGTGAACTTGCATAGGAAGAGAATTCCTGGCAGAGGAGGGGATATAGAAGTAGCACAGCATCAGAAGCAGGAGAAAGTGAGGAGCAGGAAGTTCCAAATAAAATGCATTTAGTTTATATGTACAAGTATAATATTCATTCTGCCAGAGCTTATTATTATTAATGTGTATTATGATAACACCTTGCAGTAAGGGCTCTATTATGCTAGGTACTGTACAAATGTAGAATAAAGACAGCTCTAGCTTTAAGGATATTTTGCTGTATTGTGTTCAAGACAACATTCAAAAGAATCATTTGCATGTTTGCAGAAAGCTAAATCTGTGGTATTTATCTTGGTATAGGGAATCAGTGGACCACCAGGCATGCCAGGTCCAAATGGTATTCAAGGAAATAAGGTAAGATATAGGACTGTCTGTGTGCAAAATAAGCTATAGCAGAGCACTAGATTACAGTTTTCATCACTGTGATGTCATGAGTTTCTTGACAGTGGTGTCCTGAGCCTGAGAATAACATACGGTAGGGGAGTGTCATAAGATTAAATATTAATGTTCCTGATATGGCTCTCTGGTTCCAAGTCCATTCAGACAGTTTGAGTGCATCTACACAGCACCCTAAACTCCAAATAAGATACACAATTTGTATTATTTCAAATCTATTTCAAAAAAGCTTATTTTGAAATTTGGTGCGACTACACAGCACAAAATCTGGAAATAACATGCTATTTTGAGCCTTATCCCTTGTGCAAAGAGGTTTAACCAGGATGATGAAATAGTGTGCTCCTTATTTCAAAAAATATTTCAAAATAATGGGCGGCTTGCGTAAATGTGGTAGCTATTTCGGGATAGCTGCGGTATCCCAAAATAGCCATGCAGTGTAGATGTACCCTTTGATACATACATATTTAGGCTGAAATGTTTTGTGCTTGAATATTGTTGAAGTAGTTTAATATATTTCTGTTTTGTTTTTGAGAACTTCAGAGATGAAAGAGCTCTTAAAAAGAGTTAAATATTTATGTGATGCTGTTTGTGTTACATGGATTGAAAATAGTATTAAAAACCATTCTACTAGGCTTTGGTCCTGAGTGAAGGTTAATGCCTTTGATATATATAAGACAGATTGTTCAGAAAGAATGAGTTCTAGCTAGAGGCATTTTTCCTGTTCACAAATTGTTAGCAAATGTATTTGTTTTACTCAAAATTTCCCATATTTTCACTGAGTGCAGTGAAGTAAAATCTCTGCTCGAGCTGGCCGACATGGTCTGAGGTCCTGTGGATCAGGAGGCCATCTGTTCGGGAATGTGGCATGGCACCTGTTCTAGGCGGGGTTACTCTCCCCCCTGAAAGAACAGGTACGCAGCTTGGTAGCCCTCCTGGACCCTTTTTTAACATTTGAAAATCAGATTTCTTCAGTGGCCAGGAGTGCCTTTGGGTAACTTCGTTTGATCTGCCAGCTGCAACCCTTACTGAACAAACATGACTTGGCCACAGTCATCCATGCTCTTGTTACATCCCGACTGGATTACTGTAATGCACTTTATGTAGGGCTGCCTCTAAAGAGCCTTTGGAAACTTCAACTGGTCCAGAATGCGGCTGCTCGAGTTTTAACTAACACTAGTTATATGGAGCACATTATGCCAGTGCTTCGGCAACTGCACTGATTTCTGGTATGTTTCCAGGCACAATTTAAGGTTTTAGTTATGACCTATAAAGCCTTAAATGAGTTGGGTCCAGGGTATCTGAAGGACCGTCTTCTCCCATATGAACCTGCCCGGGGATTGAGGTCAGCTGGGGAGGCTTTGCTTCATGTTCCCTAACTTGTGGAGATAAGGTTAACATCTATGCAGAACAGGGCATTCTCGGCTTTTGCTCCCAGGCTGTGGAATTCTCTTCCTCGGGATAGTCGCATGGCGCCAACGCTAGCGTTGTTTTGGCGTCAGGCTAAAGCTACCCTTTTTACTCATGCTTTTATTAGTGTTTGCGTCTGTCTGTGTGTGTTCCTCCTCTCTATAGGCTGTGTTTAGCTGAGGATTTTATTTATTTATTTATTATTTATTTAAATATTGTAACCCCGCCTTTCTATTTAAAATATTCAAGGCATCTTATAAGAACAAACAAAAAAAATACAAATATATATAAAAATTTAAAATATGAGAATTTAAAATATGAGACCTCGGCGGACATAACCAGCTAAAAACATACAGGCTATGTCTACACTGGCATGATATTGCGCAAAAGCTCTTTAGCGCACGAGTTCTTGTGTTAAAGTAGTTGTGCAAGAGAGCATCTACACTGGCATGTGCTTTTGCACAAGAGCATCCATGCCAGTGTAGATGCTCTCTTGCACAACTACTTTAACACAAGAACTCGTGCGCTAAAGAGCTTTTGCGCAATATCATGCCAGTGTAGACATAGCCTGTATGTTTTTAGCTGGTTATGTCCGCCGAGGTCTCATATTTTAAATTCTCATATTTTAAATTTTTATATATATTTGTATTTTTTTTGTTTGTTCTTATAAGATGCCTTGAATATTTTAAATAGAAAGGCGGGGTTACAATATTTAAATAAATAATAAATAAATAAATAAAATCCTCATACATCTCTGTCAAAATTTAAGGGCCGGGGCTAACACCTGCAAGTTGCCCATTTTATTGCAGAACTAGGGGAAGTCTAATGAATGAAATGCCCTTCTTAGTTTCCATTAGAACTGGGTGTACGACTTAGGATATATTCATGTTTTGTTCCTGAAGCAGTAAAGAATAGCTGTAAATGTGGAAAATATTTATGATATAAATAATTTTGGAATCCTGGCCTCTTGTCTTCCTAACAAATGCTTTTCTTGTTCTTTTTCTCCATTTTTTTATGAAAAAAGCAAAACACTATAACGGATTATTTCAGCAAGAGAAAAAAAAAGGGGAGGTGGTTCTAAAAGGAACTATTCATGCATGTAGCAAAATAGCAATGTTTCTACTAAGCCTGATATAAGCTTTGCAAAAGTTAGAAGCCTTGGCTTCATTCTGTAATTTCACATTGACAGTGCATGAACTGTATTACCAGTAAAACCCCCTCTTGCACAAGAGCCGTTCTTCCTGAAAAAATGAGGAAGAACGGCTCTTGCACAAGAGGGGTTTGCACAAAAATGGCTGTGAATTAATTATGCAAATGAAGTGCGGCGATATTCTACTCCATGCTTCATTTACATAAGCTTTTGCAGAAGAAGGCTGCAGTATAAACGTAGCCTTAGCTGTTTAAATGTTCTTACTGAGGCTATGTCTACACTATACTGATGTATCGGAAAGAGGTACGCAAATTGCTCAAAAGAGGTTTTTCCGAAATTTGGCCCATCTACACTGGGCCAAATTTCGGAAAAGCCTCCTCTTTCGGAAGACCCCTTCTTCCTCATGGAAGGAGGAAGATAGGGCTTACACACACACACACACACACACACACACACACACACACACACACACGCAGAGCGTTGCCTGGATGTGGCAGAGTTTTTCCAGGATACCTCTGATATCCTTGGAAAAACCCTGTAGTGTAGACACAGCCCCATTCTACATTAAATTTGTTCAGTGTACACACAAATATTTCTCCTAACTGCCAGCTCTGCAAAGTCATCCTTGGTTCTGAGAAATAATGGGTTCTTCCTGGTTTATACAGTATCACTTGTAATAAAGATTCTGCAGGCCAAATTTTGCCCTTATTTATATTTGTATAATTCCCCTGGTTGCTACCTAGATTTAAATCTGGTTATAGAATAATGTAGGTATAGAGAGACAAATATATAGATATCACTTACTCCAATTATCTCGTGCCACAGTTAAATGTTGTGAATATACACAACTTAATTTCTTTGAGATGAGTAACCTCCCGCCCCCTCCCTCCCACAGGAAACAATGAATGTTGATTCACAGCTTAATAACCACCCACTCAGCTAGCCTTTTCCACTTGTGCTTTATGGTAATCAGACACGTAACAAACTTCTCAACTTCAGTTATCCGTACAGAAGGATTATTGAGCAACTCTTAAAAATTAGTTTTCCATACACATAGTGTGGTGAATTTGAACTTAGAGCCACTCTCTCCAACAGTATGCATAATCCGTCTAGCCTGAGTATAATAGCAATGCAGCCATTCACTTGCCATGTAGAAGCATTTGTTGTTGTTTAGCTGAGCTGGTGACTAACTTCTCTGATTTGGGAAAATTAAGGCTGGCTTTTCAGCACTGATACAAATATGGCATAACTCAGAACACTATTACTGAACATGTCTCTTCATTATGAGGTCAAGTTAGGACATGATCTGGAAAAGGAATTTTCAGTGCTAGTGAGCATGTGAGATTCAGGCTATGTCTACACTGCAGGCTTCTTGCACAAGAACTTTTTGTGCAAGAGTTCTTGCACAAAAGTATCTTGTGCAAAGAGCATGTCCACACTACCATATGCTTTTGCCAAGAGATGTGCTTTTGTTCAAGAGCATCCTTGACAGTGTGGACGCTCTCTTTGCGAGAAAGCTCTGCTGGCCATTTTATCCATAGGAGTTTCTTGCTCAAGAAACCCCTGTTGCCTGTCCACATATGCCTTTTTGCACAAGAGCTCTTGTGCAAAAAGGCTTATTCCTTGTGGGGAGAGGAATAACACTTGCTCAAAAAGCCCTCTCTTCCAATGCTTTACTATACTTTTTCTTGTGCAAGAATGGGCTTGTAGTGTGGACGCTCTGTACATTTTTACGCAAAAACTCTGCAGCATAGACATAGCCTCAGGGTACATCTACACTTAGTGATCTGAGTAGATTTATACTCTGGCATCTAGGTCGAGCTGCCAGCCCTGCAACCCTAGGCCACATTGCTATTTCCTGCCTGATAGCTTGAAAAAAACTGGCACATGTTTCTCTGTTAGTGCTGGGAAGCACTCTCCTAGCTGCAGTATAGACATAGCCTAAATCTGTCATGCTTGCTAGAATGGACTCATCCTCTTCCAGACACAGGCTTGAGCCCAATGCCCTGTCTGTCTTTTATAAATCTCTCAGACCTAGGGTTGTAGGATCCTTTGGCAGAGGGTTCAAGCCCAAGTCAAGCTGGAACCGAGGGTTTGAGCCCTATTGCTTTGTAGTGTAGATCCAGAACTTCTGGGAGTACACCAAAAGTATCCTATGGACCAATTTGTCTTCTCTACTCCAAAAATCTCCAGTTGACTCCAGGAAAACAGAAGCATCCATTGTTGGTATAGTACAGCATTACAGTGAGTCTGTATTTAACCCTTCCATTGTCTTCTGAACACTGAGCTGCAAACACAACATCTGAGAGCTTGCTGTGTGCACAATGGAGACTGAACAGAACAAGCACATCACAAAGCATGCTGTTTCATGCTCATGGGAGCACCACCAGATTGTGATAAA